ACTAGGACAAAAATGAAAATATGTATTCAGCGGAAGTATGTTTTCTTGTCTGTTATTTTGCGTAAGAGTTCCTGTCACTCCAGATCAGACTAAGTGATGAGGAACTGATAATTATGATTTTTGCCGCATTCATATGAGTAGGCCCCTTGTCTCTATTGCATTTCATGTAGCATTGCTTTCCAAACGATATTATAATTCGAGTAGGACTTCAGTTTCGACCTCGCCTCAACTTGTTCCATCAGCACCCTGGCGGGACTCGACCTCGTTGTGTGATAATGCAGCCTGTAATCTCGATTCTTCAGCCACTACGCCACTCTACCTTAAGCGTTCTTAGATTGCATTGTGGAGGTGATTTGTCGACAAAGCAAACTTGTAATTGCTATTATTATCGACAACATTAATTATATTATTTTAGAGTAGATTTCGCAGTTTTTATTCTGGCATAGCATAGCCGACCACATCATGAGATGTATCATTTAGTAGGCAAATTTTTGCCACAATATCTTATCCATTTCCGCCTTGGTGAATGATCGTAAAGCATGCTTTCCTCCTCTGAATATGTCCGTTAAATGACGGATTCATAGTTTTCCCAACTCCGACGTCGTTTTTTTCCGGCTTCCGGTGATGCTAAGTCACACATTTCCTGCTCTATCCTCTTCAAACGAAATGAAGGGTAGAGTAACATCGAATTGGCGAGTTTTTAGCGAAACTTCGGCTCACTGTCAACCAGATGTTTGCATGAATGTAGGGATTATTCGAACTCCATTTTTTCTTCATTTAAATGCGCAAGTTACCGACATCATCGCACCATTTCGCTCGAAATGTAAGAAAGCTCAACAAGTAAAAAATGACAGCCCAATTTTGGATGGAAGACGGGCAAAACGGCGTATATTTTCGAGCTTGCTTCCATTTCGAGTGAAATGGAAGTGCCTTGCTCTGATGATGTCCGTCATACGACGGACGAAAGCTAGGCACCTTTTCACCCGACTCGAAGGAGATTGCCTCGGAAACAGCGTCAGCATGAATCTTCCAGTAAAGCAAAATCGACAACTGGTCAAGAGGAATCCGCCGTCGTCTTCTGGTGGAACCGACCTTCAAATCTTTTCACCCAACACTTCCACTCGAAATGGAAGTAAGCTGGACAATTATGAAACAAGAGATTCTTCCAAACCCAATTTTTCTTCGCGTAGTTTTTTCGAGCCCGAATTCCAATTCCTTACGGGAAAAGTTTAAGGGAAATTCAGTGGAGCCGTGATACGCCGCCGCATCGCAATATTGTCCACTTGACTGGCACACCTTCATCTACACCTTCATCTTATACAAGCCTGTACTCACGGAAAACAAAGCTTCTTTGTGCAGATCGAAGATTGCAAATCGCCCCTGGGCGAAAGCAACGAGCGAAAATCAAGCCCGTCAAATTAAGGCATGCTTCAGCTCTGCGTCTGGCCGCTTGTCGACAAGCGGCCAGAGAGAAATGCAAAGGGGACAAACAGACAGACAGGCATTCCGGTGTGTCGCCCGGCCGTCCACCTGCGAATGGGCTCACGAGTAGGCCATGTGGGCGCGCACACACGCACGCACGCAGCCAGCAAGAGTCGTGCCGTTTGTTGCGCCCGGCCCGGTCGGGCTCTGTGCTGGTTTGTGCCTGCGCGGGTTGGTCGCTGGTGTCGGGCCTCGCTGTCTGTATCCGTCCGGCTGGACAGACGGAGCGAGACGGAGAAAGACGCAGAGCGCGTCCGCTGAAGGGGCGGAGCATCGCAGCGGCAGCTCAGGTGCGAGATCAAAGCCTGCCCGGCGGCTCGCGT